CTCCAGAGGGCAAGGGGGGCGGCAGGGAGGGACACGCCGGCAGGGCGCGCGCGCCCCTGCCGACCAGCCATGGAGGAGGGAGCCCGGGTCCTCCCCCCCCCGCGTGGGGGAGAGCCCCTCGTGGCCGATGGGCCCTTGGAGGGCGAAGGGGCCTTGAGGCACACAGATCAATACACACAAATAGCAAGATTACCTATATTTTCTCATATTTCTTTGGTTTCGTCTCCCCCCTCACTTCCCATATTTTCGGGGGAATCGACGATTCATTGTGTCCATGTGTGTTTTTGTTCCCCTCCTGAAAAGGGGTACGTTTGTTTTCGCCTGGCACAAAAACACCCCAGCCGGCCGCCCGAAGCGCACGGGCCAGCTCTGAGGAGGAAGCCCAAAGACCGCCTGCACGAATTCACGCGCCACACGCACTCGGCCCATTTATTTTTGCAGGCCAGAGACCGAGAAAAGCGGCGGCTCACGCAGCCTGGAGCTGCAAAACACCCGTCACGAAACGAACCTGGTCCGTGTTGTGACGACCCGGGTTTCGCTGTCTGACATGTTTCTGGGACCGCGGAGATCGCTCAACCCTGCACGGTCGGCGACTTTTCGATCGCCAAGCCGGCCCCGATTGGTCGGCGCAGGGCCGATGGCAACGTTCAACTGTGAACGCCCGTGGGGGCGCCCCCGCTTCGACACGACACGAACCTGCCACAAAAACCACAACACCCCCACTACTGGCCAGGTTGCCCTGCACCTTTCCACGGGTCCATGGGAGCGGCGGGGGAAGGCCGATGTTTAGCTCGAGGCCAAAATCCGCTACAGGATCACGTACGGAAGTGGTACTGGCCAAGGGATGGCAAGCGTGGCTGATGACCGCTGGCCACACATACGTCACAGAGAGGGGGGAAAAGGCATCGAAGGCACGCAGGAGTGGTGAGAAGGATGGGATGTGAAGCGAGGGTGGTGGCATAATGGTGGATGGGACAAGGAAGGGCCAGGACGGCAAATGGGCGTCGGAGGGGGCCGATGGGAAAAGGAGGGGACGGAGGAGACAAGCTAGGCGCGCGCGCGCCACATCCGACGTCCCGCACTCCCCCCCATCCCTTCCCACTGCTCCGTTTGCTTATATGTCTGCCCGCGGGTGCCGTGACGGACCTGGGACCCCCCCCAAAAAAAAATCCAGTTGCGCGCAAGTCTGCACGCGGGAGCTCGCGCGCATTGGGGAGGAAATGGCGGGCGAACAGGATGCGACGCTGTAAAGAACAACGTCGCGTTGAGCGCTGAGACGAACACCTGGAGAAAAAAGGCTCGGCCCCAACAGAGCCAGAGTCGCGCCCGCCGCGTAGACAGCCCGCAAGCCCGCCTGAGGATCGCAGCTCGGGGAGGGGGCGGCCGAACGACAAGTAATGAATGGCGGGGGCTGAAGGGGGCAGTCCTTCGCGAAGAAAAACCGCAAGGGCGCGCGGGGCGCGCGCGCAGCAGAGCGACCCCGGCCGCCCAAAACATTGGGGGAGAAATAATGGCGGGCTATGGCCCGACCGCTCCTAGCCCGAGCCACGCGACATGGGGGCGGGGGAGGGCGCGACCCCTTGCCCGACCCTCCCCCGCGGGGTGAACGCCCTCAGGGAACAAACTCAGATAGCGAGCAGCATCTTTCGGCCCTGCTCTGGGCCGCATCTTGCGCCAGACTACGCTCGTCTCCATCGGGCGCGAGAGCCCCCCGAATGGAGGCGAAAGAAACGCGGGGCTCAACGCTGCGCCCAGGAACCGAAGCGCGAGGCAACCCAAAATATCCCAGAAGTCCTTCAACAGCGGGCCTCTTGAGGTCAAGACTATCGCCACCAGCGGAACGCTCGGAGGACCCAGGCGAATCTGACAGACTTCTCGCGCGGGCGCCCGAGCTACCCGAGACGCCGCCGCCCCCCTTTGCGGAGGGCGCGCGAAAGTGCGGAATCAGGACTGGCGCCGCGCCGAGCAGCCCTGAAGGCCACCACTCCAGCAAAACGCGGCCCACGAGACAGACGAGCGATCTGCTTCGCGGCAGCGTCAGCTATGAAGCAGAATGAGTTAGCATCTTGAATGGGCTATCCAAGGGGTCCGACAACAGAAATGCCCGCGTTCGGGCGGGGCAGAGGGGGCGGGGGCGTCGGCGGGTCGGGAAACTGCCGCGATGGATTGGGCCCTTGCCTTCGACGGCTCTGGGATGTCTCTATCCTGCCGTGCGAGTGGAAACTCATACAGGCTGGGTCTTGCCACTGGGGGCTTGCCGAACAACCATGTCTGCTAGTTTGATGGCTTTGGCCCGCTGGCTCGAGACAGAGTGGAGGTCTTGACCAGACGCCGTCGCAACGTAGGCCCATCGGCCGCTGCAACATGAGACTCGGGCCCCCTTCTGGCGTCGCCCGATGCGCCTGACACACGCAGGAGCAACATGGCAATGCGGAAGACCTGTAAAACGGCCGAGCCCCCCCTTTGCGGTGTGTGTGTGTGTGTGTGGGGGGGGGGGGGGGGGGGGGCGTGATGCGCCCTGGGAAAGCTCTGCCAGCCAATGCGCCAATCCTCTCGTCAACTAGATTAGCAGAACCACAGTCCGCCCTGACAGACCGGTCGTCGACCGCGCCAACCTCCCCCATCGTTTGATCGTCATTGCCAACGTGCGACCAAATCAAGCGATGCGAGCTGCAACCGTCGAACGGACACTGAACGGATGTCGCGCTCTCCGCGCGCATGGCACTCTTGAAGACGCTGGCAAGCGCATGCAAACGCCGACGATGGCTCGAAGCATGGCGGCCGCATTGACTCTGGGAATACACTTCCAAATGCGCTGAGTCGGCTCACCTTCTTCTCCTCCGTCTCGATCATCATCGCCTTCGCAGCGCTCCCCCGCGACTCCTGCTGTTGGCGTCGTCACGAGGGTCAAAACAAGCTTCTGTCCAATCTTCCTGAGACTCCCTGGGGATCGTGCAGGGGTCGTCGGCAGGGCTGGGTCGAGCAGCGCAAGACACCTCGAGCAAGCTCGTATATTGTAAATGGCGCAGAAGCCCTGATATCCCAAAACATACTCAACAACAGTACGATACCGAAGAACTGCGAGGCAGTCTACATGAGGCCCTTAACGGAGAGAAGCGTTGCCAGTAGTCTCACGCGCCAGACTCCAGGTCTATCCGAGAGACCCAATTGTCCCACGCACCAGACCCCAGGTCTCTATCTGCACCTGCCAAGCCTTCTGCAAGTCCTGAAAGAATGAATGCATGCTTTCGGCACAGCATGGCCCACTGGTATAGTGGCCCTGCCCGCGCTTGCACCTGTGGGTCCGACTACATTGGCGTCTGCGTAGAACTCGAGATCCACGCCTGCGTCGCGGACTCTCGAACACCATGGAGAACGGAGTGCGCCTGGCATCTGTGATGATATTTGATGGGGCGCCCTATGTGCTGTCAAACCATGTCCCATTGCACTCAGCAGTGCGGCTCGGACACGCTGGTGCGCGAGTGGGACGACATGTCGCGCCTGTCTGAGACGAGGGATCCTTCTGGACGTCGCCGCAATCCTCCCGAAGACGACGGACACTCGAGGAGCTGCCCGAGGTCGATTGAACCCCGCAGGCCACCAGGGCCCCTTGGAATTGCATTCATGCGTGACTGGTTTCAAAGAAACGACGGGCCACACTGCAAGGCTGGAAGAAACTGTCATCTTGTGCTTCGCGGGCGGGAGTTCCGCCCCGCGCAGCGCGCCGGCGAATGGGCGAACAACTACGCGTCCGGGGCCAGCTCGTGACGGACGGGGCGGTATCCTCTGCGCGCATGTCGATCGGGAGATGCACGACGCATGCTCGAGCAGCAAATTGAAAGGCGAAGTCGGTGCACGCTGCAAACAGGACGCAGCGAAAGAACGGCGTGGAAGCGCACCCCTCTCAGTGAAGATCACCCCCGAGAGAACTCCTTTACCGCAGAATACTCTGGGCCGTCATGGATACCCTGACAGCTACCGCGATGAGCGGAGACGGGGAGCCACGTGCGTGAGCAGCTTCGAGCAGCAGCCGATGGCCCACTTTATCGTTGGATTCCCCAGCGCCGGCAATGCCGCGCACTGCGACGTCAAGCGTCGCCACCTCGTCCACCGGCACGCGCGCGGCCGCGTCTGTCGTAATTTTCTGAGCCCAAATCGAAGAAGGTCGTTTGAGCCTGCTGGCTCATTCGCGAAAGTGACGATGCTTGCCATGGGCCAGCCTAGAAACCCAGGTTAGTAACGCCATGAGTCGGTGACTGCCCGAAGCCATACTGTAAAGCACGGTGCGTGCCTTGGACAGCAGCTGTGGCCGAGCACCCACGCGCGCGCACATGCACACAAACGCACGCGCACACGCACATGCACACACACACACACACACTCCAAAAAACTAATGGAAGTGGCCCATTGCGGAAGCGCTGCGCTGGACGTCAGCGCGCAATGCCGCGGCCGCCAAAAAAGGGCTCCGACGGCCGCCCGACTCGCGAAACGCCTGGCGGTTTCACTCAAACGGTGAAAGACTGTGGTCCTTCATGTCCCCGAGGGCACGTCGGAATGATGCGCGAGCGTCCAGATGACAGAAGGACTGGGAAGAGGCCTTGCCCAACCCCCTTTCCCCCCGCTCTGCTATCCGACCGAGGCAGGTGCTGGTGAACCAAAGCATGTCCAGGCGGGGCGCAGCAGGCCGCGCGCGTGCTTGCCCTGCGTTGCGCGGGGTGCCGCGCAAGACGCGGCGCGGCACGGCGCGTCGGAGCCGACCGTCGCGCCCGCGCACGCCCTCGAAATCGCGCAATACATTCAACGCGCGCGAACTGCCCACGCGAACTCGTCTGAGCAATCCGGTCGTCGTCCTGTCGAACTTGCAGAGTGCGCAGGGCGCGCGAATCTGCCGCCCCCGCGCGCTGATGCCCAGCACGAGCACATCCCGCCGTCGAGCGCGGACGCTCCTCTCACTCCATTTGCCCGCCCGACAAAGCGCCGCGGAGCTCCGAGGTGAGAAG